GAGATTGAGAGGCTTACCTTTCAGTTAAGAAATCTCAAACAGGAGAAGGAGGAAGCTCAGACTGCCGCAAAGCGGGCCCAGGCGGAGGCCGAGAGCCTGAAGGCCCGTCTAGGTGATTTTGCGGTTGGCTGTGGTCCGAGCAAAAATACACAAGAGGAACCGACTGTATCTTACACGGTTTCTCCCAGTGGCCCAGACTGTACCGATCAGGGTTCATCTACGTCCTCTTACCCTCGAAACCGTTCTCGTTCTCCACCAGAATCCCTTTGCACAACCACGCTCATGACATTGGGAGGAGCAACTTCTAACTACCACCCTGACCATGCCACAGCCTCCCTATATAGTGCATCCAACTGTTCAAATAGGGACAATGAGATGGATTGCAATGACGCACTTGCTCTGGAGGACCGTTCCCTGTGTGATACTCTGGCCTCAAACTCTCTGACAAGAGCCGGTTCCACGCCTCGAGCATTTGCTGCCCTCACAGCGACTTCAGTAGCTAACCTACAAGGCCGTATACATGAGATGGAGGAAGCCAACTATACAACTACTGAAGAGCTTCAAGCTACAATGGAGGAATTGTGCGATCTTCAGCGAACTCTGGATGAATCACAAGACCAGAATCGCACCCTGGCCTTTGAGCGCGCCATCCTCCTGGAGTCTCTATGCACTCAGACAGCGAAGTTGGAGAATTGTCGTTTTCAAATTGATCAACTTAAGTACTTGCTGATGACCCATCCTGACGCCATGAATGCAAATTCACGGGAGTCCAGCTTCGTGGAACTGTATGCATCGCTTGAAGAGGAGAAAAAAGTTCTTTTGGCTCAAAACAATGACCTAGCGCAAAGTAGTGACAGCCTAGCTCAAGAGTGTCGAGTGCTCACGGAGAAGGCAAACCAATTATTGACCAGCCTCAACACCCTTGAAGGGGAGCACGAAGCCCTACAGGCTGCCCACAACACCCTTATTTCTGAACTCAATACCTTCAAATCAGAAAAGGAAAATCTCATGTCCCCGTCGCAGCCTGTGATGATGACGACAACAGGATCGGAGGTGACTATAGACGTCGCCCTGGCATCCGAAAAGCGAGTCCTGGAGACGCGGATCGAGGAGCTGACAAACTCTTCCAAATACTGGCAGGATAAGTTTGAGTTAGCCCAAGCTGAGTACGAACGAGAGGCTACCGAGTGGCGTCTCTACGAGCGAGATCTTCTAAAGACCGTGCGTGTGGCCGACGGCATTAAAGCGGAGTCTGAAGAGGAAATGGCGCGGATGGCGGTTGAGAACCACGATCTCCGAGAACAGGTTAGCAGTGTGTACTTAAAAATCTTAACCATACATCCTATATTATCGAATTTTCGATTGACCTTTTGCCAATTTTATTGGATACAGAAGTTTATGCTTTTTAAAGTCACTAGGTCATGTTTGAGAGCGTTATTTAAGATTGAAGTCGCAGCCGTAGGAAAATTTAGTCGTTTGAAGTGTAAGCCCGATGCTCCAACGTTTAATTTAGTTACATTTTCCTAAATAACCACGATACATAGTAAGAATTGCGCACGAGATAACCAGTTTTTATTACCAGGGGTTTTCATTTCATTCGCCTTATTCAGGTTCGTTTATGCGGTTTAACTGAAAAGTAAAGACAGACTTAAGCTAAAAATTGGCGACATTGACACATAGCCTACTTCACTATGGCTTAAACATTTTCATATTCTAAAATAGGTGAAAGGCCATTGACGTAGCTAAAACGAAAACTTCACTTTACTATTCGGTGTAGGGTTTAACGACGTCGACTTCACATCCGCCGGACCGAATTGACCGCTTGTGGGAACTAATTAAGGTTTTTATGTGAGAAAGTCATGATTATCTAACCGCTCACGTTGTCGGAGTTGCCTGGCCGGATGTCACATATCTCCGTTTCCTGCTGTATCGTATTGGATGTAAATATATTCTACGGCCCATTGTGAAAATAATGAGGTCAACACCAACACCATATCTACATGACAATTCGACCATAATTACCGAGAATTTGCACCGCGCGTTCAACAGCAGGAACGGTGTCTTGGTTGGGAATTAGTTTATATTTGATACCCTTACTTGTTACGACTGTGATTATGCCTGATCCAGCCGGCCTCAATGTTGTCAGGGGCGGTACCTACCTCTCCATGCGTGACGATTGGCGGCAGCGGATCTGGAAAGTTCCACCCAGTCTCTTCTCCAGCT